ACGTCGATTTCGACTTCTTTTCGTTCTTTCGAACGCAGGCTTTAGGACTACAAGTGAAGCTTCTCTATGGGTCTCTTCTCTCCTTAGCCACATCTATCTTTCGTTATGTCTTAGTTGCTTCTGTTTATCAGCTTACGGAACTCTCCGATTGTATCCAAATTTGTCCTTTGGGACTTTAATCTTAATATATAAGTATTTGGTTGTTCAAAAAAAAAAGGTACACACCGTACAAGTGTCAAGAAGATTGTTATTATATAGAGAGAGTGCGTTTACTCGTCATGCCTTTGTTAATCAGATTACTTATTTGTGACGTAATCTCGTCACGCCTTGCTATTTATGATTGTTATGTATGACGTAATCTTGGAACATTTTTTTTCTCACGTGAGAGAAAGACTTATTTTTGGTTCTTATTTCACATTTGATATCTTAAAAAAAAAAAAAATTCTGTTAAGTTATATTATGCTTTTAAAACAAAAACAAAATAAAAATAATAATATTTACAAAAAACGAAAAAATTTCTTTAAATTTTTTTTAACAATATATTATGTTTTTAAAATAAAAAAAATAAAATAAAAAAAAACAGTAATAATTGCAAAAAACAATTCAAAAAAATTGTTTTACTATATCTCTTTAAAATGAAATCAAAATATGTGTTACATTATATTATGTTTTAAAATAAAAACATAAGAATAAATAGAAAACAATATAACTGGTTAGTATTAATTTCTGACTTCATGTTTAAGATTTTTCCAAAGGGTTTATGATTTATCCAAGAGTTTAGGGTTTAGAGTTTTAGTGTTAAAATATTTTTATTTAAAGATTTTTTTCATTTTTTGTAAATATTATTATTTTTATTTATGTTTTCTATTTTTATTTAAAAATATAATATAACTTAACAAGATTTTATTTTCTTTTTAAAAAGATATCAAACATGAAATAACACAATCCTATTGGGAGGTGAACCCAAGAATAATTCATAAGCGCTAATTCACTAATAAATAATAATCAATCTATGCTATTAAAACATAAATACAAAATAATATTTGTCTATTTTAAGTGATTTTTAACAGATTTTCATTCATTTTAATTACTTTATTCTGTTCATTTATTGCTTTTTCTACACAATCACTTTATTTATTATTATTTTTTATCAATAATCACTTCATTTATTGTAATCATTTAATTTATTGTCTTGTATAAATATAAAATTTATATGTATTTAGTTTTGATGTATGGAAATTTTAAAATATCCAAAAACTAATATATCTGAGATATTCGGATATTTGTAACAAAAATAATCAGTTTAACCTATTCAATTCGCGTATTTTGAATCTAAAGTAAAATAATTAAATAACTAAAAGTAACCATACTATTCGGTTTGATTAAAATTCAGCTCTCATGTATAAGACTTGAAATATACAATTGATTATGCAATGACATATATAAAATATATAATTTTAATTATAAAAAATAAATTAATTTATAAAATTGAAAATTTAATATCCGCACAGATGTGTGGGTTAATTTATGTTTGATTTTAAATTAGAAGTCCATAATAAACTCGAATTTAACATGTGATCAAAGTCCAAATATTAGCAATTCTAAACTCTTAATTAATTAATTAAATTTTCCAACCAAATTTAAAGATCATGATTTAATCTTCTAACTAGGTATAGTTTAATATGTACAAAATAGCAACAATCTCCTAATTACCGATTGATTTTAAGTTGGAAACTCATAATAAATCTGAATCTAACAATAACTATGTATATATATATATATAAGAATTATGGATATTTCAATTAAAAACCACTTGAAAAGGAAGTATTCCCGCACATTATATAATCTTTCATACTGACATTTAAATTTCTCATCCGAGAAGCCGAGAAGTTAATGGGAAGTGACAAAGTAAACATATTTTGATTAAAGGAACTGATTTAGATATAAAGCTACTTTACTTTTTTATTTCTTTTTGCAAGAAACAGAACAAAAATTCCATTTTCGAAAATGTAATTCATTGTCAACATATATCCGGACATATACAATGGGTTCAAACTTAATTTACTTTGACGCTGATATAAATATTTTAATGGAAGTGTGACCATACTAGCAATGTGACAAGAGATCGATACACGACCATGTAATGTAACATATGCACACACATTCATAATATGTATAATTGGAGATGATGATGTCTGGGTTATGGAGCAATGTGCCATTGATGATTAATTGAAATAAGAAACACAAAGTCATCGAGTAATGGTTTTTTATTATCAATGTAGTCTCGTTCACCCTTCCTATGTAGTCAACCTCCTTATTCTAGCTTGTTCTAAGCATAACAAACATGCACTTATTTATTTACACTAACTGCTTTCTTCTTAAAATGTTTTTGTAAAGTATGTTACAAGCTCCATCTTTACCCATATCTCTCTGAATATGGATATCTGACTCATGGCCATTTTTGTATAATGTTTTTCCACATATAGCTACAAAAAGAGCAAGTGAAAATTAGTATGAGACATATAATCACATATATTTATGGTTGTTAAGCGTGTGAAAATTAATCAAATTAATTGAAAATTTGCAATCCCAAGAACTCTCAGTGCAAGCTCTGCCGTATTAGGTTTATATGTTGTGGCCTTGTGGGTTTAGAGATTATAAACAAATACTAATTACTTCTTGAAACTAACGTGTATTGCATTTAACTCTTCTGTTTTGTTTTCTTATTACCCCCACATTCCATTTCCCTTGGGTTTCTCACTTTCAAACCTTGTTTCTAATAGGAATATTATAATATAATCGACCATAATGGAGTTCTAAAACGACATAATTAGCTCACTCTCGGTGTATTCAACACCTATTGTTATATATAGATCGCAAATGGTTGTGGATATATATTACCACAAGTAGATAATCAAAAGAAAAATTATTTGCCTTCGGTTTAATTGTAAAACCAAAGTTCACTTTTGATACCAGAGAATTACATTACTCGATTAGTTAGTAACTTAGCAAAAAGTTAAACCGAAATAATTTAGTTTTGTTATGATGTTAAAGTTGTTGTAAAATGCGTATCAGAGAGCTGCCAAGAATAGTGAGAAGTGAATAGATTATGATTTTCAAGAGATTCAACAATAACAAAATGGAATATACTAGACAATTTTAAAATAATGCTCACCTTATAACACGATGAAGTTAAATATGAATTTGTTTATGGATGTGTGTATAACAAACGAAGCAGGAGAGCAGTAAAAAGGCTCTTCGCTTTCTAATTCGCTTAGACAAAATTTGTTACTTAAAGAAAAACATTTCCAACAAATCATATTTAATTTGATGCTAATGATAGAAATGGAGAAATGACACCTTATCCACTGTGAAATTGAAAATGCAACCAAGTTGCTTTGGTTTAGTGGTAAAGGAGCTCCAGTTGGAGTGCCTGCCCCTGGGTTCGAGCCTTGGCCACTGCAGAATTTACATATGGGCTGCAGCATCCGAAACCGAAGACCGTTATAGGTGAGCCACATGGTAACGTCCTTGTAGTGTTCTTACTCGCTTCGGTCTCTCTTCTGGACCACTTCGATGGGGTCAGGATACTCGGTTAGCAAAAAAAAAAAAAAAATTGAAAATGCATCTTCTTTTATTTTTATTATTTTTGAGCAACCTATTCTTTTATTTTATTTTATTTGTTTTAAAATAGTAACATTAGAAAATCTTTTTCTTTTACATACATGTCAATTTTGTTAGAGATATCAGGTTAGCCTTGATCACCTCTATAACATTACACATCTCTCATAACAAATGAATTTTTATTGTATAAGTTTATGGAATTGATGTATGAAGACAAAAGGGGAAGAAAATGCCTAACTTGTGGGCAGGAAGAGTGGTGGAAGTATGATGGAGAAAGAGCAAAGTGACATTTACTATTTTCGTGTTCTTTATTTCTGAGACATAATCTTCCATTATTTCACTTCAGTGTTCTTTCCTCTGCTTTCGGTTATTGCTATGTCCCATTTGTTCTTACTAGCTTTTCCTTCAAAAAATTTCTTTTTTTGACCAATATGGCGTCGAAGATACCCTTCATCACGGGACATCCGCAGAATATATATACATAGCTTAACGGATTAATCAATATTATGATAATCGGTGACTGATTGATCCTTGATACTTGGTTTAGCCGGTTTGATTTGGTTAAATTAAGCTGGTTAAGTAACTTAAGTTGCGATGTTTGTTACCACTGATCTGTTGCTTTATTAGCTGACTACTGTGTTAATACGCGTGTATATATAAGGTTGAGATGAACAGGTCTACAGTTAAGCAATCTAACAAGCATTACAAGTAGTACCTTCTTAACGACTGAGAGAATATGAAACCTAGTCAGCTTTAAAAAAAAAAAAAAAAGCTTAGCTTACTAATTTTTTATCCAAAAAAGGGTCAACTTACTAATTGTGTGTTTACGCTCATAATATTATGATTTTTCTTAAGCTATTTAGCAGCTACTGTTAATGTCTATGCTATGTGAGCTGTAAGGCCACGTAACTGGTTGAGAATTTGACATCACAACCTGGACTTCTAGCTCAAGTGGTAAAGCATTCACAGTTTTGAGTTCTGCTACTTGAAATCGAAATTTGGCTATCAAAAGATTTAACATGCGGATTTTCTAGCGTCCGAAACTGAAGACTATTATAGATGAACCACATGATGACGTCCTGGTAGTGTCCTTGTTAACTTCAATCTCTAGTTTAAACCACTTCAGTGGGACGCACTGTCACCTAGGTTCAAAATCTAGCCACTAGAAGATTTAATATGCGAACTCTACAGCGCCAAGACTAAAGACTATTATAGGTAAGATACATGATGACGTCTTGATAATGTCTTTACTTGCTTCGATCTTAGTATAAACCAATTCGGTTGGGTTAGAATATTCGGTTAGAAAAAAAAAAAAAATTTGGCATCACACTCAGATATGCGGATCTATATACTATTTTGCTCAAGGCCCATTTTCATAAAACTGGGATCGAATACTATGAAGAAATTTTAGTAAAGCAAAAACTTCCGTTTGGGATTCAAATGGTACACTCTTTAAAACGGTCCACATACACTTGATGGACAACAAGATAACGAGAGCATGCACAGCATAAGGAAAGAAAGAAGTAGAATAAAGAAAAAACAAAGTCCAAAAACCTAAGTAGTCTCCAAAGATAAAAGCAAAAGCCCAAAACAAAGCCCAAAACTCAAAACACAAATAGCTTATTCGTCAGACAAGATGACATACACTTCCGGAATCTGCATTTCATTTAGAGCAGTGTAAGTGACATGGTAGCTCAAAACTGGCGCCTTGGTGGTCTAGCCTCAGCCTCAGAGACTCTAATCTGTCTCCCATCCAAATCCTTCAAACAAAAACAAAAAAGTGTATCAGAGAGTTTGCTTGCACTATAACAAGTACTAGTGAACAAAAGACACTGATGTGAAGAGAGATGAATAATAATACTTACAGCGCCATTCAAAGAGCTGATAGCTCTTGTGACCTCTTGAGGAGAGCCGAGTGTCACAAACCCAAAACCCTTTGATCGACCAGTGTCCCTGTCGTAAATGACCCTGGCCTCAACAACTTTTCCTTGCTCGCTAAACAAGCTCTCAAGAGCCGTGTCATCCACACCCCACGAGAGGTTTCCAACGTAAACACGGTCTGATGAACCTGAGCCTGAGCCTGAACCTGACCCAGAACCATAGCTGGAACGTTCAGAACCGTAACCAGAACGTCCTGAACGTTGAGACCCGTAGCCGGAACGTTCAGAACCGTAACTGGAACGTTCTGAACCGTAACCACCACTTCTTGGTCCTCTGGAGAATGATTCCTCTCTCTTTGGTGGAGGAGGGCCAGCGTTAACCCTCAAAGCTCTGCCTTCAAGTTCCTGCAACGTTCATGACACAAGATTAACAACAACAACCACAAGGTACAAAATCTAAAAAGACAAGCTGCTTCCATCTTATACAGAACAACATAAACCATAAAGTCTCCACAAATCAAACAGAGCAATTCAATAAAATAAAAATTCCTCAAGAGTACTTATATTAAGAAGACAAGAGCACAGTAAAAAAGGAGTAATCTCCTTACATAGCCATTAAACTGCTGAGCTGCTGCCTCAACTTCAGCTGCAGTTGACATTGTCACAAACCCAAAACCTCTGCTCCTGCCAGTCACTTTATCATAGATTACCTACAAACAAAACCAAACCCATTTCAAATCAAATCTCATCTTCTCTTCAAAGACCCAATACTAAAAATCTCAACTTTCATCAACAAAACTTATAAAGCACCAAACTTTACGACGAGAATTAACCAAATCTCATATTCTCTTCAAATACCCATTTCAAAAATCTCAACTTTCATAAACAAAACTATAAAGAACCAAACTTTACTAAGAGAATTAGCCACATTTCATATACTTTTCAAAGACCCAATTCAAAAATCTCAACTTTAATCAATAAATCTATAAAGCACCAAACTTTATGAAGAGAATTAGCCAAATCTCATATACTTTTCAAAGACCCAATTCAAAAATCTCAACTTTAATCAACAAATCTATAAAGCATCAAACTTTATGAAGAGAATTAGCCAAATCTCATATACTTTTCAAAGACCCATTTCAAAAATCTCAACTTTAACCAACAAAACTTATAAAGCACAAAACTTTGAGGAAGATAATTAGTTTATACCTCAACCATCTCAACAGTTCCGGCGCTCTCAAACAGCTGAGCGAGCTGAGCGCTATCCACATCGAAAGAAAGGTTACCCACGAAGAGCTTGAGGTCAGCGGAGAAGGAGCTCCTCTCTTGCTGCGGAGGCGGGGAAGAATCATCGTCAGTGAACATGTCATCTTCCTCCACCTCGAAATCTGATGACACGGCGACGTTTCTGGCGAAACGCGACGGGTCGAAGGAGCATTTGACGGCGGAGGAAGCGAAGAGAGGGCTGAGTTTGAAGGAGAGGGAAGGGGGTAAGATGGAGGCGGAGCGGGAGACGCAGAGAGGAAGGGATTTAGGGTTGAAGGAAGAGAGGGAAACGGAGGAAGCAGAGGCAGACATGACTCTCTCGCTGTGCTTTGGGGAGGGGATAAGGTTTAAGGGTTTCTTCGTGAGATATGAGAGTGAAGAGATAATAAAGGAGATGAGTTTTAGATATTTATTCCCACTTGGATATCTATTTTGTTTTTTTTATCTAAAATATTTATTTTGAATATTACTGTAAGTAGGTAAGTATGATAGTAGAAATTTTTGAAAAAAGAACAATTTCTTTTTCAGTTATGTAAGTAACTAAGTAGTAAGTACATTTTTTCAAAAAAGAACATTTCAGATGTTTTTTTTAAAGATAAAATAATATTCCTTCCATTTTTTAAAGATATATTATTTTGAGAAAAAATGTTTTCTAAAAAAAAAAATTAAAATCTTTTATGGATTTGTTAGTTCATATCAAAAAGTAAAATTAATTATATTATTTAATTTCTATTCATTTAAAATTGATGTATTTATAATCAAAATTTAATAGTTTTTAATGTGTGAAAAACACTTAAATATTTTTTACATAAATGATTTAAAAATAGGAAATGCTAAAGTTTGTATAATTGTGTTTAAAAAATTCTGTAAATTTTTTTTTAAAAGATTGTAAATAAACCTTGTGAATAATTTGTAAAAAGAAAATTGTTAATTTTGTAAACGATTTTAGGTAAATTTCTCTAACGGTAGAAATTTTGTGTTACTGATTAACTGAAAATATATTCATAAATACATTTTATAATCTATATTATAATAGTAGACTTTCTAGGCTCCACAACGCGCCACGTCAGCAGTTTTGTGGGTTTTTTCAAAACCCATAGTCTTGATAAGATGATTATGAACAATGAAATACACTTTAGCCAAGTGGTATAAGGTGTCTAATTAAATATGCAAGATCGTGGGTTCAAACCACGCAACTATCATGTATTTTTGATTTTTTTATTTGGCTTATTATCATATGGGATTTTTGTTTATAAGGTTTTTATGTTTCTTTTTTGGGCTTATTGTTTTAAAGATCAAAATAGTTGAATAAACCCTAAAGCTTAACAAGTTCAAACCCAAAAATAGTTAAAAATGGATCCAAAAACGAACAATAAAAAAAAAAAAACAAGTCTCATGCGGTTGCCTACGCGGATGGCTTAAAGAGTCTTTAAAGAGCCTCAACTAACATGTATTTTTGATTTTTCTATTTGGCTTATTATCATATGGACTTTTTGTTTATAAGGTTTTTATATTTCTTTTTTGGGCTTATTGTTTTAAAGATCAAAATAGTTGAATAAACCCTAAAGCTTAACAAGTTCAAACCCAAAAATAGTTAAAAATGGATCCAAAAACGAACAATAAAGAAAAAAAACAAGTCTCATGCGGTTGCCTACGCGGATGGTTTAAAGAGCCTTAAAATATCCTATTATAATATAGCTCAACCCAAAAATAATAAAAAATGAATCCAAAAACGAACAGACCAAAAAACAAAAACAAAAAGTGAATCCCACGCGGCTGCCTACGTAGATGGCTTAATGAGACTTGAATAATATAGATTAAGAGCTCAAAAAGTTAAATCATTGCACATATTTCCTAATATATATTTTATAAAAAATTTGTATGTGAGATAAAATAAAAAAAAACAACAAAAATTAATTATTTTCGTTATTTATGAAATGAATATGTAATTTCTCTTACACTTTAATAACTACTATAATTTCATTGAAAACATTCCTCACCATCGATTTCAGACTCCGGCGAATGGATTCCCACAGTCAATGACGTCGTAGATAAAAATATCACATCATTTAAGAACAAAACTCAAACTTACAAAAAACATATATAAAAACCTATCTAACGAACCTTGAACAATGAATATTAAGTTAATTAAGTTTATTTTCAAATTGATAAATCGTTTAATACAAATATAAATATAGAATTATATCAAGTTTTGACCTACGATAGAAAAACTATTTACAGCAAAAAGAAAAACACCTACTTTTACACACTAAAAACTATAATATAGCCTAACTATTCCTATAAACCTTACTTCGCATATAAATAACATTTAACACATTCATAATATATTTTCAAAACATTTGTATGTGAAATAAAATAAAATAAACAACAAAATTTAAGTATTTATCGTTATTTATTAAATCAATATGTAATTTCTCTTTCATTTTAATAACTACTATAATTTCGTTAAAAATATTCCTCACCACCAACTCCAGACTTCGGCGAATGGATTCCTACAGTCGATGACGCCGTAGATAAAAATGTCACATCATTTATGAACAAAACCCAAACTTACAAAAACCATATATAAAAACTTATCTAATGAAACTTAAACAATGAATATTAATTTAGTTAAGGTTATTTTCAAGTTGATAAATCGTTTAATACAAATAAAATAGTAAAAGTATAGAATTATATCAAGTTTTGACATACGATATAAAAACTATTTACAGCAAAAAAAAAAATATACACCTACTTTTACACAGTAAAAACTATATTATAGCCTAACTATTCCTATAAATATTACTTCGCATATAAATAACATTTAACACATTAGATATACAATATTTTCACTTTATATTCTTACTACATTCTTTCTATTTCATTATTATTTGGTGTCATTAGAAGAATCCACTAAACGAACAATCGAAAAGAATACACGCAAACATAATGATCCCGGCTCCGCGCCTGCGCGGGGAGTATGCAACTAGTAATAATAATAATACACTTGAGGGACTTTGTACTGAAGTGAATGGTATGTGTGATTAAATCTTGTCCGTTCAATTTGGATGGACAATGGAGATTAAGAGAAGGTATGAGAGAGTGGGTCTCATGAGAAGATAAGACGTAACTAAAACCCAAAGGAAACTACGCAACTAGAGACTATACAGTGTACACTGCTGTTCCAGCATGGATCTTCAACTTGTCCTTTTGATTATTATTAAGTAACCTCTCTTTAAAAGTTTTCATTTTGAGGTTTATGTAAATAACCTCAGTTTCATATTGTTTTTCGTATATATTTTTTTTCTTATAACTGAAAAGGCCACTGTTTGTTATCATCACTCTCGCCAAGCTTTTCCAAAACCTTATAGCCTTGCAAAATTTTCAATTAAGATTACTAGTAGAGCTTTGCTTCAAGATATATTCTAGGACTGCATTATATACACCGGAAGAGTAGTTGAGCAAGGGGCTCAGGGGTCCCTTCTTGCCTCATTCACTAGCCCACAATCCCAACACAAGTAGGCTCAGCTTTTATTTTTACTCCTTTTGAAAATAGATGGTGCCGGTTCGGTGTAAAAGCCAGAAATGACCGGTCCTGGTCTGATATTTCCAAACCCATTAAACCGTTAAGCAAGTGATATAACCAACCCGGTTCGCATAGAACGGGTCCCATTGACATCACACGTGTCGCTAATGAAGATGAACCAAGAGATTAAAAGGCTAAGAAAAAAACATTGTTCGGCAGAGAATCGAAGAAGAAACAACAACAACACTCACAAAGATCCTCTTTTGTCCGTACTGAAACGATGGACATTTCTGTTCGAATCTCCTCCGTCTTAAGATCATCCAATCTCTGTCTGAAAAATCCTAGATCCTCATCTTCCTCAAGATTCCTCTGCTCCAAAAGAAACCCCGACGAATCTCCCAAAAATGACAATAACGGTGAGAAAGAATCAAAATATCAATTTAAATCTCTAAGATTCTTGACTTTTATCATTGTCTCTCAGGTGATAATAAATCTTCGAGGGATTGGGACAAAGCGTGGAAGAGTTTCAAGAAACAGAGCAAGAAGACATTCTTCTCTCAGTTCAACGTCGACAAGTACGTGACGTGGAATCCTCCGAGATCGGAGTTTCCTTTGTCGGAAGAAGTTGATCCCATAAAAAGAACAGAGAGATCTAATCTAATGCTTTGGACAAGTCCAAAGTTCACTTTAGTTGGAGCCATCGTCATTGTCTCAGTCCTCCTTCTCTACACCATTCTTGCTCCTGTTAAGTGAAAATATCTTCTTCTTTTTTCTCATTCACTGCAAAGGTTATTTATTATCCTAGTGGTGTAATTTAGCTTCTGTATGTGTTCTAATGTCTCTATATACATCATGCTTTGACCAAAGAAATTCTCGTTTTAACTGAAATATATTTGATGGTTCCTGCACAAACTCATGAATATTTTTCTTTGCACGAGTTGTTATAGAAACGAACTGAATGTAAAAAGAAAATGCATAAATAGGCCAAAGCTTTATTCTTACAAGAGTTTACAAACGGGAATATTATAAATATGTTTTGCTAAAAACAAGACAGTTTGGAAGCTGTCTCAAAGACAAACCAAAGAGACAACAAAGTAAAAGTTCAAGGAAGGAACAACATCCATTGACACATAATGATACATTTGAGATTCTTACCCTGTTAGGGGCAATGAACCATCAAGGTGACTGGCTGCCTTTAGGGGAAGAACGGTTAAGCTCAGGCTCATCATCAATGGGACTCCTGTCTTGAGCAGGACTTTCTTCACCTCCCGCAATGGGACTCACAGAGTTCTTGCCATTACCATTCTCTCTTGGACTACCTTCATAGTCTGATTTGTCTTCCTTCTCACGTATTGGGCTTGCATCTATGATTCTTCTGTCTGGACTCATGCTTTGGTCTTTGCCTCGGGGAGATACGGATCTCTCCATTGCCTTGGGACTGAGTGATCTATCCTCTACACTCCTCTCTCTTCTCACTGGCGACCGTGAACGACTAATGAAACAAAAGTAAACCAGTTAATAAGAAAACATCTATAGCTTCATGTAGAAAAAGCATTGCAAACATAAAGAACGGTCTAGTTCATGTTTTCTAACCTATGACCACGACTGTAACTACGGCTACGGCTTGGGCTTCTTCTGCGGCGAGGTGGGGAGCGGGATTTAACTGGTGACCTGGAGTAGCTTCCACCACGCCTGGATCATTACAATCCAAAGAGGTGTCAGTATCAGCTTTAAAGGAAACAAGGATTTATAAATTACAAGTACCTGGCCTTCTTAGGACTAGGACTGTTCTTGCAGTTTCTCTCAATGTGTCCTCTTTCACCACAGCGGTAACATTTGTTCTTCCAGTCTCCTGCTGTGCAGTCTCGAGCCCAATGACCATCAACACCACAGTTAAAACAGCGACCAGAACCAGGAGGTGGACCTCTGCTACCACTATCACGAGAACCACGCGGTGCCTATCATAATTCAAGAGTTATGCATGACATCATAAGTAATTTACATGGAACTAGTGGAGGATCCAAAAATACAGAGACAGAAGAAACAACTAACCCCTCTGGAAGCCTCTACAGTGATGCGACTTCCATCAAAGTCTCGTCCATCTAAGTAGTATCTTGCGTCATCAGCATCACGAGGATCACTAAATTCCTGTTCTCAACATGTGAGGGACAAAGATAGATGCAAAACATACATGTGTGTATGTGTGTGCGTGCTCTAGGATAGACTAATTAATACCCTATGAGAACAAGGTGATAAGTATTATTGAACTTACAACAAAGGCATAGTCACGCTTCATATCAACATCTCTTACTCTGTGGAAAGTGCAATCAAGGCCATCATTACTAAAGGAACTTCCAAACACCATTATGAGATTTTGAGGTCCAAGTCCTCTAGAAACATGCAATAAATCAACAAAAAAAAATCGCCGATGCACTCTCTGTACACCAGGCGAGAGGTCCCACCAAATCACACCAAGTCCACAATACACTCATCAAACATCTCTCCAGGTTAGGCAAACACCCCCCACAGAAACCTTCAACAACATCATTCAAGTTAACAAACAAAAGAAAAAAACACTAAACCCTAGCTCCCCAATTTCCCCACATAGATGAAAAGTATCAACGCAAAGTTATGAGTTGAATCACAAATAACTCATTGGATTGGATCCTAACATTCACAGTTTGTACACATCTTCTCCAAAACAAACAAAAATACAACTCAAACACTAATCTCCCCTCCCCCAAGAACAATCATTCTAGATTCAAAAATCAAGATAAGTCAATTCAAACAACAAATTGGCTGCTAGTGTCAACATTGTCTACGTCACATTACGAACTCATATTAATCTAACACTTATCTCCTCCCAAGACTAATCATTCCGGATTCAAAAACTCAAGATAGGCCAATCAAATTACATAAATTTGATAAAAATTCTACCTTCCGTATCTGCTGAAAAGACGCTCAAGATCCCTGGAACGAGTCCTAGATGACAAACGGCCAACGTAGAGACGAGTGTTTCCATATCGATCATCAAATCGAGGCATTTTTGCCAAAGCTGCAAACTTTGTATCATAATCAAATCAGACGCATGCGTATGAAGCTCTTAACCAAAAAAAAACAAAAAAAATCAAATTGAAGAATCGAGAAACCGATTGAAACCCACGAATCCACGAATAAGAGAAACAAAGATCAATAAAATAGGATCTAGTTACACAGACTCTTCGTACCTTGAAATCGCAGGAACCCTAATTAATAATTTTCGAAACGAAGAAGAAAGTGAAACCGCGGAGACACAACAAAAGTGTTGGAGTTGTGATGAGTCTCGTGACTTCTCTTATGTTATAAATGTTGGATACTGGAGAGTTTTAACCGTACAGATTCGTTGTGGTTGTTTCAATCAACGGTTTAGATTCAACGGCGAGATAAACGTTTGGTGTTAACAGATATAGAAAACAAACAATTTATTTTACACCATGTGGAAATATTGGGCTGACTATTGAATAGAGATATTAGGCCTAATATTACATTAAATAAGCCCATTAAAAGGATAGTTTCGTTTTTTTTTTCGCTTTACAGTAAGGCAAGAAGAACCCCAAGGAGGAAAATGAGTTTTAAAATATCTACAACTATTTGAAAACAGCATTTTTAATACTCAACTATCACTTGCACAAATTTAATCCTTAAATCATGATTTCTTAAGATATAAAAAGATCAAACATTAATTATTAAACAGAAACGTTAATTGAATTAGAAAAAAGACTGAATTTGGCTTTTTTTTTTTTTTTTAACACTGATGCGAACAAATATTCGAGGCGGTACATACTTATTGAATGTTACAAGAAAATAGAGAAGATATCATTAGACATCCAAAAAGAAAGGAAATAAAATTTCACCCACCCTCTAATTGCCGAGCCTCCAAAGCTAGGAGGTGATGTAGCCATGTGGGAGCATTGCGGGCGAGATAGGACTGGTGGCGGTGATCGCGAGTGACACTTATTGCAATTGCGTCAGCAGCTTCATTGCGTTCTGGTAACGCGTGATCTAAACTCCATATAGTTATCTGGGCGAGCAGAAAGGAGATGTTGTGACAGATATGGCTGAGACTAGGATGCTCATTCGGATTTGTGAAGACGGCATGGAGGTTCTCCGAGGAAGTCTCAAAAATAATATTCGAAAAATGTAGATTGTGGATGCATTTCACAGCCCAAAAAAGAGACCACAAATCCGCTTCTGTTTTTGTGCGCATATAAGAGTAAGACCGGCGACTATGCATGATTGTCCGTCCATTTTCGTCTCGCAGAATCCAAGAAGCACCACTATAAGAATTCAAACTTTTCCAAGAAGACCCAACATTACATTTAAGGAACCCACGAGGAGGTCTTCTCCATGTAATCTTATCAGTAGCACCCTCATTGACATTTTCTTTTGTTCCTGTAAATGTATTAAACCATGTTGATTCTTCTTCAAAGGCTTTCTTAAACAGAATTTGGCTTTTAAACACAAAACATTAAAATCGATCTATACTATTATTTAAGAAATAATTTTGCTGAGGTGATTTTAGGTAAATTCATAAATTTTAATTTTAAATCATATTTTTTCATAATATTGTCATTCACAATACTTATCTAACATGTTTTTAACTTTTTGTTGATTATTATAAATCATTAACAAATGATAATCCGATAAAATACATGTTTGACCAAAAGCATTATCAAAATATTTTAATTAGTTATTATATCGATTATAGTCCGGTAAAATACATGTTTAACCAAAAGCATTATCAAAATATTTTAGTTGGTTATTATATTTATTATGCGCCGCTGACTTAGTCATTATCGAGAGCTAATAGATAAACAAAAGAATACAAAAGCATTATTCTCTTAGTAACTTCAAATCTAAGTTATTTCAAGAAGACTCTTTTATTCTGAATAATTTCACCATCGGTGATTATACAAGAGAATATAGAACGAATCCATGATTTTAGGTTATTTTGCTTATTTTCATGTTTTAACAATTTATTATATAATAAAAACTAATTTATGTTAATAATATTATATTCTTAGAAAATATGTTAATTCTTTTGTATTAGATTGTTATCTTAAAAATATATTTTTCAATTATTATTTTAGAAGTAAATTTTCTTAGTTGTCAACTTCTCCATGATTTTAGGTTATTTTTCTTATTTTCATGTTTAAATAATTATTACATAAAAAAGAATTTATGTTAATAATATTATATTTTTAGAAAATATGTTAATTCTTTTGTATTAGATTGTTATCTTAAAAATATATTTTCAATTATAAAATTTAAGTGAATTTACTAATTAATTTTGTAACTTTCACGTTGAAAGTTAGAGCGGTTAATATCGTTTATATCCTTAATGAATAATAAATTTTTTTAATATAATTAAACATAAATAAAAAACAAATTTCAATGATTTTAGATTTATCTTTATCTACAAATATTTAATATTGGGTTATAAAGTCTTTATTAACCTTGAAAAATAATTATATTAGTTAATATATAATTAATTATAAATTAAAAAAACGAATTTCATTTATTTGATAATTATCCTTATTTTAATTTTTTATATTATGTGATAAATTCTTTATGAACCTTGAAAAATAATTATATTTGTTAACATATAATTAATTCTAAATTAAAAGATGAATCTCATAAATTTGATAATTATCTTTATCTAACTTTTTTATATTGTGTTATAAAGTCTTTATTAACGTTGAAAAATAATTTTATTTGTTAATATATATTTCCTTTTAAAAAAATTTCCAAATAACAATATAAAATAAAAATGAAACATTTAGAAAATTTACAAAACTATTTAAAAACGAAAATATAAGTATATATAATATGGTTTAATAAAAAAGGAAAGTTCACAAAATAGTAATATTTAATTTAAATATATTTTAAATAACATAAAATATACCTTTGAAGTAATAAATACTTTATATTTATATCTTTTTAGATATAAAAAAAACAATATCTGTATATAGTGTGATTTCATAAAAAGATTTCACACAAAAAATATTACTATTAGAAAAATAAATATTTTTTCTTTAAAAAAAATAATTTTAAACAATTAAATATGTATATTTTCCAAATAATGATTTTTGTATATCTATCTATTTTATTAGATGATTACATAAAATAATCAACTAACATAAACTGATATATGTTTAATTGACATTTTTTTATAATTAGTATTATTGAAATTATTTTTTTAGTATATTTATTTGACTATAATATCTTACAATTACAGTAAATATATAAATTTTATTTTACTTATATAGTATAATTTCTCAAAAACAATAACTTTTTACTGACTATTTTAAGAGATACTAAAAATAAAGCTTAAAATAAATTTAATAATAAACATCTTTTGATCAAGTAACTACAATTATTTTAAAATGTCATAACACTATATAATTTAACGAGGTAGATATATTATATTTTAATAGTTAAAATTATCTATTTTAAGAATAAGGATCCTGATTTACTTAAGTATATTGATTATGGTTATATTAAGTTTCACAAACATAAAAACAAAAAATAACTACAATTATTTTAAAATACCATAACACTATATAATTTAACGAGGTAGATATATTATATTTTAATAGTTAAAATTATCTGTTTTCTTAATAAATGTTTTGATTTTTAATTTTTTTGTTTTATTTGTGAAACTTAATATAACAATAGTCAAAATACTTAAGCAAATCAGAATCCTTATTTTTAAAATTATTTAAAATAAATTTCAGTTTACCATCGAATCTATCTAAAGCATAAATTTATTTAGAATTTATAAAATATTTTAATTATTGTAAATATTGATATGTGTTCAAAAGCTTCTAAAAATTCATTAGTTACTTATGTATGTAATTTAGAATCAGACACTTTAGTTTTTTTTTTTTTTTTCTTCTAAGCACAAAAAAATCTCAAGTTATATATAATCTTACTAAATATACTTATATTTCTAAAATAACAACCAGCATATATGCAAATAGGAAAATTAATCAAAAATTTAATATATTTAAAATATAAAAGATTATAGTTGAATTCAGAGAAATAGATAGAATCCAATATATCTAAAAGATAACTAAATCGACCGTAAAAAGAATAAAACAGACTAAATATAACATATCTAAAATTATTTATATAATTAAAGTAATATAATATTATAATATAAATTAGACATACAAACTATAAATTAATTTAAAAATTAAAGTAAATATCAATCAATTATTATTGTATATTTATTTTATAAATATACATGCCCGTGGATGAGCATGGGAAAATCACATAGTTTACATAAATTGATTATATATTTATTTATAGATATTAGTAAAATTATTAAGCCCACAATGCGGGCAAAACACCTAGTTTTATTTATATTATGAGTGAAATAAAGCAATTACCATAAAATCGATTTTAAAGTATCACCGATGAGAAAATGGTTTGATACAAAAGTACAAGTGATTGATCTGCAGTTACCGATAATCACTTTTCTGACTTAGAATTACGTAATGGAAATTGTTTTGAAATTTTGAAAGCCAAAATTCGATCTATTTCCTAATTACAATTAACGTTCTTTTTTAATAATTAACTAGATTTTGACCTGGGCGGGACTACCATTTTTTCTTTAAATTTATGCCATTGTTTGATTATTCACAAGTATGTATATACACGAGTATCCGGGTTCAGATAGATTGTCGTTAATAATTTTGGTTTGGTCCAACAACATATATAGATTAAATACAATTACATACAATTTAATGTGTGGTATAAGATTGATTTTTCTTATTCGTTTTAGTTAGGTAACAAATTTTAGGGACCCGATGAAATTATGAGTTCTATTCCATAAACTAAAGTATTGATTTGTATTAGTTTATATTTTGAGTTCAAACTTATTTTTTATAAAATAAATAAATAATTTTAGGGTACTATTATAAACAATTTGGTTGATATTATTGTCATATAAAATAAATAGACATACAACCGACTGTTTATTTTAAAAACTATGGTCATAAAAATTGACATTGTATTATATAGACAGTATTTGTTTAAAAAATATGATTAACAAAACAATTATATAAGAAAATAACATAAAAATTCAAAATACAACTGCAAATGATTATTGCAAGCCCGTAAATAAATCAATACATCATATTAACGACCCAAGCTCAACACAAATATACCGACAAAATCTCTTTAATATATCTTGGACATGCGACTACCACATATATTTTCAAGAGCGGGATATATTTTCTTTATAAATTGATTTATACGAAACAAAGATTTGATATTTATAAAATTACATGTGTTGAAATTTTGCAACTTAAAACATTTATAATTGTGTTGAGTAGTGTTTTCATACCCGACACGGGTTTGAGATTGAGCAACTAAACTTAGTGATATGTACATATTTCGGTTTGGATTTAACTAATCCACCGCTATTTAAAATTTTGATAAAACTTGGTAAGTATCCAAAATCCGTTAGTAACATGTCACCTGGCACTGATTGACCCGTGTAAAACTAAGATAAAATTGGTGATCTAAAAAATTGATCAAAATTTTATATATTTTAAAATGAGTACATGAAATTGAATAGTATATTTGATTTGTGATTCTTTACTAAAAGAAGTACTATGTTGTCTGATAAAAAAAATAAAAGAGAAAGGCGATAGAGAACACCAAAATATATTACTCGTTTTCAGTATTATTTAATTTGTATTATTGATAATATGATCGCTATTATTACTTAAATTTTATTTTTTTATGATCGCTATTATTTACTTGGTAGAAACCGTGATGTAGAAGGAATATGTTAGATATAGTTTTATGTACATTAAAAATAGGTTGACATATTCATTTCGAAATTTTACATTCAAAAAACATTTTATGCATAAAATTTTAATTAGTTAACAACACACACATACACACACACACACACACACACACATATATATATATATATATATATATTGAAAGAATCATAATTTGGTGTATTTATTTGATTCTAATTGTAAAAATTTAAGAAGTTTAATTATAAAAACTTTATTTTATGTTGTGAAATATTTATTGTTACTTGATAAACAAAGATTCACTTTCTAAAATAAATACTCCAAATAATATATGCTTTCAATCAAAGATGCATTTAATAACAAATAGTATTTGTTAGGTTAATTAATAGGGAGAAAAATAGTGTTCCTAAATAATAACTACATCTAATAAATTAAATATTAAATATATTTATTTCAATGGTACAATCTTAGTTTAAGACAGTCGAGTTTGGCACATATATATGTTTCCAATATATTAGTTTAGATTTTGACCCGCATTTTAAAAGTGCGGGATTTTTTTTAACCTGTTTGTTAGTTCATAATAGAAATGAAAAATATATTTGTTCAAGCCGTTTGTAACTTGATAAATATTTTTTGACCTGTAGAAAATGAACACATTAAAAAAAGTTTAACTTATTTCAGTACATATGACAAATGAATTTTTACCCGTAAACTATATAACAGAACAAAATTTTTTGACCCTTATATATATTAAACTTAAGTTATATTCATAGTAGAGAACATAATATGACTCATATATATAGTAAAGGAAGTTTAATGTATAAAAATAAAAGTATATGCCAAAACATATGGGAGAGAATGAGAATTTAGTTTTTTTGTTAATATATAAATAAAGTAATATTGATTAAATACAACTATAGTTATATATGATAGGCAAAAATATTTATTTTAAATGTATAAACCAAACAATATTTTCTTTCTATTTATTTTAATTTCAAATTAAAAGATAATACTCATTTAGATAAATATGAAAACAGTTAAGTTTTGTTATCATTTGAAATCTCGGCATAATCCAAGTTATAATCATTTTATTAGTTTATATCCTTAATATCACCATTTTTCTTCTTATAGGATTAACATTTGTTTTCATATTTGTTTGGATGCGAATCTCGTCGTAATTAAGAAGATAATTGAAAAGAGGAGAAATATTTTAAATGATACTATTACGAAGTATTCTTAATAAGTTATCTAATTGAAGAGTTTATTTCACATATTAATTTATTTGTTACATTCTAACAAATGTATACTCTTAAATTCGTTAGTTCTTTATAATAATTTTTTGTATAAGTATCTTTTATCAAGTTTTTTACTCGCGCGCCCGCGCCGGTATTGATTATTCATTTGTTTTTCATTTCTAATGATTTACATAAACATAATTTTTATGTTCTCTTTTAAATTCTTACCTTATTGAATTTTTACATATTTGTATCTTGTTTATTGTGTTTAGAATCCATTTATAAACTATAAGATTGTACTTTTTTATTATCGTTTTATTCATTTTAGTTAGTAAAGTAAACATTAAGGTGTAATCTATTAGAGTTTTAAGTATATTTAGTGGGTTTTATGAAATTAAAATATGAGTATTGGAATTTAAAGTGAATATAAAGTTCAAATTTACATTGGTATTTTATAAAACATTTAAACTATTAAAACATGAATACATAAATTTGAAATTGACACTGACTACTAAAACCAACTTGCACTTTATAAATTAAATTTTGCCACGGATAATAACATAAATCTTTGAATCTATCATTAATGTCAATTTATCACAAATTAAAAAACCCATTTGATATATGTACCAATAATAATTGGTTTACTCTTAAACCAGCCCAATAATCTTTCAATCTATCATTAATGTCAATTTATCACAAATTAAAAACCCCATTCGATATTTGTACCAATAATCATTGGTTTACTCTTAAACCAATCCAATTCCATAGATAGACCCAATTAGCATTTTACTCTTGTCTAATTTTCTGCTGCGGCTAAAATTTCATTTTTTTAGCATGGCTAGAATTTCATGTATCTGCATGAAAAGGTTGACATCTATTAATAACCCGAGTGTGCTATAATCAAGTGCATAAAATTATGTTTGTAAGTCTTTGGTTTTGTGTATACATTCAGTTGACAAATTTGTATTCGGTTTTGTAGTAGTATATATGTTTAATCATTAACCAAACCAAACAATCGTTTGGGAAACAAAATATAGTACTATACATACAACTTTAATTAAGTCAACAAAAAATCATATTGTCTAACAAAATACCTGACATTAACTATATTTCTAAAACAAAATCGTGAGACGTATGTGGAATATTGGTAATGTATTCAATTGAAAAAGTATCCTTTATATACCTAAGAGTTTAGGAATATTGATTTTGTAGTTTAAACCAATGACATAATATTTTTATTAAAATTAAAATGGAGAGATAATCAAGGATATTTTGTTGGAAAAAGATTTGGTGGAAAAATAATAGATAAAAACTATAGGTTTAAATAATGCAGTGGCAAAGATCTGTAAATACTTCCAAAAATCAAGGGGACTTCAAAAAAGGACTTTGTGTTTTAATAGTATAGACTAGAATTTGATCTTCACGTATGTTTGAGTTTTGTAAGTCTAATTTTGCATGGTCAAACATAATTTCAGAATCAAATATGCGCAAATAATAGTGAGTATTAAAAGTGCTGATTTATATTAGTTAGAGATTTAAAAATTTATTTTTCCATAATAGTTGATGATATCTTCTTACTCTACTCTCTTCTAATTTTGGGAAATCAATCCATTATTCTACCTAAAATTTTTTTTATTTTTGTACAAACGAAATCATAATACATTTTTAGAGAAGTAATCAAGACAAGAAACATTACAAATAATCACATGTTTCGAAAATAAATACAAACCTTACTAGTTACTTTACTGTTTTACACTAATATCTTTTTTCTTATAAAACAAAATACAAAAATTTACAGCAGTAAGATTAGTAAAAAATCAGCGCCGCTTGTTCTTGCTTCCGATCAAGAGTGTAAAGTAAAACATAACCCTAAACAAGAACCCCAAGGCTACCGTGATCCACAAGCAACTCCATTTACTCATCTCCGTGACCCCTTGCTTCTTCAAAATATCAACCCCCGTCGTCACACACGTCTCCGCCGTCACGTTAACCCCCAAAACACCGCTCATACTCTTCAACAAACTGATTTTCACCGCATCCGAAACTTGTCCCAACGGCGAACTATCAAACATCTGAATCCCTCTTACAAAGCATTTCCTCGGATCTTCAAACTCGTTCTGAAGCACACCTTCGTAAGGATACTTCACAAGCGAGAGGTAATGAAACCATAACCAGTAAAGAGGGATCCTATCTCTAGAGATGAAGAATCCAGAGAAGAGGAGGAAGTAAGCCAAGATCGCTACAACCACCGTGAACCCAATCATCACATGCGATACGACGCCGGATAAGAAAGTAACAAACGAGCTTCCGGCCCAAAACGCTGCCAAGATCGTCAAGAAGAAGAAAAAGAACCCCTCGGAGCCTCCGGAGAGACCAACTGCGAAGAAAGTCGTGGCGGCGAAGCTAGCTGATAAGATTACAAGAGCCGGGAGGGAGATGATCGTGTGTGCGAGGACGTATGATGATCTACGGTACGCGTTGTAAGCTGTTTCTCTCATGAAGATGTAACGTTCTTGGAGAAAGACTGGTATGGCTTCTGCGCATGTGTAGAATGTTGTGGACATTGCGAATGCGAAGAACCCTAAGCGTTCTTGTATGCCTCTTGGTGAGTTATCTAGCTTCCAGAACATTGTGGCTAGGATGGTTCCTGTAATAAGAACGGCTCCTAGGCGGGTTCCGAAGAGCTCTGGTTGTCTTCTTGAGTTTAACATTGATCTTTTGGCAATGACTAGAATCTCAGTCCAGAATGGGTTTGCAAAGGTTTGAAATGTTGAGTTTAGGTTTGTTTCTCCTCCTGAGGGGCGGTCCTGATCATAATTAAGTGAATTTTCGTTTTAATTTTTGTATAGATATATATCTATGAAAAAATATAACTCACTCCTTTTTCTAAAGTAAGATTTTTTTTAGATTTTATCTTGTTCCACGAAATAGATTTTTTATATACTTTTAGTAATTTTGTATACTATTAAAAACACTAATTAAAAATATTCGAATTGATTAAATACTAGTATTGGTTAATAGTTATTGGAAAGTGTATAATAAAATTAGATAATAAATTTAATTATACACATTCATTGTATACTAGAACCTCTATAAATTAATATTCGATAAATTAATAATCTTTATAAATTAATAAGTTTTGTCGGTCGCAACTTGTGCCAGTGTAAAATATGACAAAGATCGATAAAATAATAAGATAGAAAAATTTGAAAAAACTTATGTAAATATATAGTCCCAATATAAACTTAAATTAATAATTAGCATTTATAAAATTTATATAAATATAATCAGTATCATAGTTGATTTTTTTTTATTTATAGTGAAGTTTATCTTTATTTTTCTCAATATTTATCAACACTTTGATATTATTTCATTTTACACTTAAAATGCATTTACATTTATGGTATGCGTCAAATAATCTAACAATTCAAAAATCAATACATATATCGTAAAGTCAATTATTCTTCATATTTACTCATAAAATACACTTTAAAATAAATAAATATAAAAAGGAAATTTTCTGTAAATTAATATCTTTATAAATTAATAAAATTTCAAAATCCCAACATTATGAATTTATAGAGGTTTTAGTAAATATATATATATATATATATATATGTATATGTATATCTACTCCTAAATTTATTAAAAAATTATATAAACTTGAAGACTAACCTCCCAAAATTCAGGACTGGTCTTGCAGGCAGAGACTAGTTTCTCTCTTAAGATACTTGCGTTGATAGCGTCTTTGAGTGAGACATTACTGTTTCTTGTGGTAGGGTTTAGGGTTTGCTTTGCTCTCCATTGCTTGTGGAACTCAACTAGGGTTTTAGTTCCTTCTGGTGAATCTTCAAGCTCACGTATTAGGTCAAGTGCGAACTCTGTCTTGTTCTCATTCTCAGGGATAATGTGACCATACTCCGAGAAGAACCGAGAGAGATCTGTTGGTGAACCGCTGTAAACTGTGTTCCCTCTAGACAAGAAGAGTAACTTGTCTAGCAAGCCTAAGATTCTATAACTCGGCTGATGTATAGACATGATCACTATGCTACCACTCTGTGCAACTCTCTGAAGCACTTTCACAACCATGTAAGCACTTGTAGAGTCAAGACCCGAGGTTGGTTCATCTAGAAAGAGGATAATCGGGTCATGGATTATATCGATTCCGATAGAGACACGTCTTCTTTCTCCTCCCGACACACCTCTATGTCCTTCATCACCAATCACTGTCGTGGCTGCGTTTCTAAGACCGAGCTGATCAATCAAAGCTTGAACTCGTGCTTGTTTCTTTTTCTTGGAGAGTGAGCTTGGAAGTCTGAAATCGGCGGAGAACATTAGAGTCTCTTCAACGGTGAGCATAGGGAAGAGAAGATCGTCTTGCATGACATAAGCTGATATGACTTTATGGAGGCTTGATTCAAGAACTTCATTGTTGAGAGTGATGGAACCGTGTAGGCTCTCTTTTGCGATACGGTTGGCTAATGCATCGATAAGTGTTGACTTCCCTGACCCGCTTGCTCCAAGAACGGCCATCATCTCTCCTTCTTGGGCTTCACCGGAGATACCATTGAGGAGAATCTTAGTATTCATCTCCACATCATCGAGAGATGAGTTTCCGAAACAGGGAAGTGGGTTAAAGTTCTTTTGGGTCTTCACGCTGTAAGTCAAGTCTTTGAAGGAGAGAACAAACGGACAAGGAGATGGCATGTAATGACTTTGGACGTTATGATCATCTTCCATGCTCATGAGAAGCTCTGCAAGTGTGACAGACACTTTTGGTGTGTTTCTGTGACCTCTTTGGAAACCATCAGAGTTTTGGTCAGTGTAAAACAGAGGAAGGTCGTCGCTGTTGTTGGCCCGTCTGGCCGGAGATAGTTTGTCGAGTAAACCAGACATCACGTGAACTTACACTACTGTCTAATAAAACCTTTTGGTCTCTCAGTTGATGTGTCTAAAATTTTTGATAAAAAATGAGACTTTATAGAATGTTTAGATGGGAATAATGTGATAGAAACTTGTCAATTTGTTTGGTGATCTCTAGATATCTAACTCTAGCTTTTGTAGCTTTTATAATATATTTTTATACATACATAGCCTTTTTTTTTGTGTGTGTGTGTGTGTATGTATATCACTTATACAGTAACTGTAAGTTCAAAAGTAGATGAGGAGTTGGGGCAAATCCATTCACAGTTTTCCTTCCATATATGTATTGCATACGTCTCTTTCTTGGGGCGTAAGGTACTTTATGAAATCTTATTTAAAATTAAAAGTGATTTTGCTCCCAAAAGTAAAAGATTATACTTCATGAAATTGCGTGTTTATTTATCTCATATAACCCTTTTTGGATTGTAATAAGAAAAAAAAGAGGTAAATTCATGAATGTAAGATTTGCAAGGAATATTTTCATAACACTATTTAATAACAAGTGTAGCATTACATAGATAAAAGTCCTCAAATTTTTTGTTAGACCCCTAATTAAATTTGTAAGAATTTTAGTTCTAATATTTCATAAATTGTCTCTGGCCTTCTGAATTTCAGGGTCGGTCATGTTTCTGCCCCTTGTAAATCAACTTTTATTTTATCTATCTCTGTAGTTTTTATTATTTTCTATTTATTTAGTTTTAACCATGAGTTTTCTATTTGATTCTCAGGCTCAGGATTCATAAACATGGTTTCTTGTGTGGACAATGGTTGACTAATTAAGAAGAAGGTTTGGTTTTTAGCTTAACCAATGTGTCTTTTTATAAATCTTTGTAAAATAACTAAATTAATAAAAAATCATATCAAAAAGTTGGAATGCTTTTGAACATTTTTTTGTAGCATTATTAATTTGAAAATTTCGCAATTGGTTGATCAAAAGATACTCTCATGAATCATAATAAGATTGTGGCATGGTAAACTATACTAAATTAAAGAAAGGCATGCCGCATCTCATTATCTATGCCTTATCAAGCTAATGGCGTGTAAACTTCAAGTATTTGATTAATCATGTGTGAGTGTGAGTGAAAAGCCTTCCAAAAAGGTACGAGGGTAAGTCCATATGGATTTCTACAGAAGAATGGTGCAGTAAGAAGAGGACGAATGAGAAATCGTGGGACCGAAACTTGGAGACGTTCGGCTACTAGTTTTATGCCGAAGAGCTACACACGGAAACCCAACAAAAAAAAAAATAGAAAGTCTAACGTGACACAAGTTATATATAATTAATTACGCATATGGAAGTTTGGTGAGGCTGTTATATCCGTTCTCTTGATTATTTCACTTTCATTAACCTATTATCAAAAGAAATCTCACGAGTTTAATAGAAACTAGGATAAGACCCGCGCCTTGCGCGGGATGAAGCTATTATTTCTATTATGTTTTGAAAAATGAAACAATAGTTCGGTTTCATTCGGATTAGAGGTGTTCAATCCGGATATCGGGTATCGGTTCGGCTCGATTTTTTGGTATTTCGATCATTAAAATATAACTACTACTCTAAATCTATATGTACTTCAGTTTGATTTGGTTTATATACCATCGGTTTTCAGTTTATTCAATTTTATACCTAAAAACATAATTATTTAGTTTGAGATCATATTATATATTATACAAATATATAATATGATCATATTTAGAGTCATATTGTCACAGAGTCATTTATTAAAAAATATTATATATTTAAATAAAAGAATAAAAAACAAAAAAGACTTCTATCATCTAATAAAATGATCAAATCTAGAATTAATATCAAAACACTAAATTTTGAAAATAAAAATAAAAAATAAAACAGAAGCATGAAAGAAATTTTTTTATATTCTTCCATATTTAGTGTTCATCAAACCAATATGTCTTCGATTGAACACAACTCTGTTTGTTTAAAGATAAAAAAAGTTGTAAAGAATTTCAACTAATTGTTGTCCATCAAATTTATAATCTTTACTTCAATTTAGTTTCTGTTAAAAAGGCAAAAGATCAAAATAAGATGTCTCAGTTGTAATAAATTGTTAGCTATTTACAAATTATAATTATAGTTCAACTCATGTAACAAATAGATATTCATGCGTCGTTATAAATATATACATATTTACATGTTTCAGTTTAATCGGTTATAAATCAAACCATATTCAAATCCTATGGTTTTTATAAAATCACATCCATTCGGT